CGGAACTAAGGCAGCGGTGCTGCCGCTACTTGGGGGAGGCGCGCCGGGCTCTCCCGCCCTGTCTATGGGGCGGGCTGAGCACCCAGTGACGCGCTGGGCGCCTCCGCCTTCCTCACTCTGCCCGGCGCGGAGGGGCGAGAGGTAGAAACGCTGGGGGGACCCGCAATCCAGCTGTGCCCCGAGGCCGCGCCCGTTCCCGAGCGTTCTCTCCTGCCCCGAGTCCTGAGCTGCTGGGGTGGCTCCCTGGCGGGCGGGGCTCGCTTTTGTAACCAGCTTTGCACGTTGTCTGCGGGGAGCTGTGTCTTGACGCTGGTCTCCTGTTTGGCTCTGGCAAGCCAGAAAGGGGAACACGGCACCGCGCCCATCGGACCCCCACAAGCCTGGAGGAGAGGGGCCCTCCCCCACCTCTTCCTGGATTACTTTGGCAATCAGACTAGCGCTGACACGGGCGGAAGTTCAATGTTAATATGCTGCCTTGGGCTTCTCAGTTTCACAGCCTCGAGTCTCAAAACCCTGCAGCGATGAATCTATGTACTTCTCAAGTAACGCCTTTCTGTTCACGTTTGTGACCTAATTTGGGAGCAGATATGCTTAGAAATATTGTGGTTGGCTACTTCTTCTTTTTAAGGGACACATTTTTGCATAGGATTTATTATGCTGATAGTTATTGAGAGAACGTAAATTGGCATCAGTGCTCTACGAACATAGGCTGTTTCCACTCTAGATAAACCCTAGGGGATTCAGGAAGTTATGATAATGTGAAGTGTTGACTAGGGAAAGCATTTATTTTATGTGCAAAAACCAGAGGCTTGACTGAGCAAGTGTTACCGAAATTGAGGCGCCCCCTACAATTTGTTACAGAAAAACAAAGAAGTGAAATTTCAGAATCCAACACCACAAGATAATTTATGGATAAGCCCTAGCCCCCACCATGACTTTGGGGCTGGCAACAGTGAAATAATAATAATAAAAAAATGTAGCTCACCTACCGTTTTTAGTAGCAATTAGTTATTGTCTTTATTCCAGTATTTTCCTTTTTTGAAAAAGTGACTTTAAATATGCATTTCATTACTTGAAACCATGAAAAAGGATACACATTTGTTTGCCTAATTTCCTGTCAGCTTTGTCTCTACAGAGTAAGTCTTACAATTTTTCTGAGGACAACATTCAACTTCTGGTTTTGCCAAGGGGCCCCCATTTCATACACAACAGTGACTATGGAATTTATGGAAAATACACAGGTATGGGGTATGGCTGGTAGGGATTATCCACTGGATCTAATGTGTAATGAAAAAATAAGGGTCATGAATCAGTCCTCAGAAAATGCTGGTTACTGGGCAAGGGAACAACAACACTTAAATGCAACACGTTTTAAATTAATAAAATAACTTTTGTATACAACATCTAATGAATACGTGGAACTCACAGGCTCAAGATTTTGTTGAAACAAAGGCTTTGTCTAGATAGGACAGTATGTGCATCTTAAACCAGAAAAGGTACACTGAGTTCTAGTCTACACTACTACATGCCCTCAATCTAAGTTATGCAAAGTCAACTACATGAATGAGGTAGCTGAAGTCAACATACTTAGATCTACTTACCACTGCAGAACAAAAAGACTACCTCTTTCCCAAGAAGCTTACACTTTGGCTGCGTCTACACTGGCATGTTTTTGCACAAAAGCATCTGTGCCAGTGTAGATGCTCTCTTGCGCAAGAAAGTTCCGATGGCCATTTTAGCCATCAGGCTTTCTTGCGCAAGAAATTAACATTGCCTGTCTATACTAGCCTCTTGCGCAAGAGGGCTTATCCCTGAGCAGGAGCATCAGAGTATTTGCGCAAGAAGCACTGATTTTGTACATTACAACGTCAGTGTTCTTGCACAAATACTCACGGCCAGTGTAGACAGGCAGCAAGATTTTGCGCAAAAGCAATGGCTTTTGTGCAAAATTTTGCCAATGTAGACACAGCCTTTAAGTATGAGACAACACGAGACAATTCTTATCCTTATTTCTAAGGCCTTGAACAATTATGTGGTAGTATAAATAAAGATCTCTTAGGGTATGTCTAGACTACATGCCTCTGGCGACAGAGGCATGTAGATTAGATTACCCGGCACAGGAAAATGAAGCAGCAATTTAAATAATCGCCACTTCATTTAAATTTACATGGCTGCCGCACTGAGCCGATCAGCTGTTTGTCGGCTCAGCGCGGTAGTCTGGACGCTCCGCGGTCGACATCAAAGGCATTTGTCGACCTCCCAGGTATGCCTCATCCCAGGAGCTTTTTAAAATTCCGCTAGACATCTATCTGCATCATTAGCCATCTAAATAGTCTTTAAAAATCTAGCCTTTACTTTTCCATGTCTCTTGATTTGCTTTGTTCTCTCTGAATAACATTCACTAGTGTAGGGAGTTTCATGTCTGTTGAGTCTCTTTGGGAACCTAAACCTCAAAGGGTAGGCCTGGTGCGAGGTAACCAAAACGGGACTCCCCGCAGACCTGAAAGGGTGTAAGCATTTCCAAGTACCTGTTACTCTCATATGCATTGCTTTGCCTGTGCTGATTGTTGTATTACTTTGCAGTAGCTGTGTAACCATTTGGCAGTATTAAGCCTGTAATAGTAATGATAGATGTAGTGAGATTAATACAAGCAACTATCTATCCCTAATTGAATTTGTCTTCAAGCAAATCCACAACCCTGTTGGGGCCTGGCCCTGTGACCTGACAGAAGGCCTTCTGCATTAGGTGAATTTTACTCTGTCCTTTTTGTTTCTTGTTCCATTGTCCCTTCTCCCTTGCTTCTCTTCACTATGTAGTTCTTTCAGAACCTATGGCCTGTGTTATTCAGGAGGTCAAACTATCATAATGGGCACCTTCTAGCCTTAAAATCTATTAATCTATATTCCATTGTCTGGTCTCCAACTACCTTCTTTTTTTCTTGTTTCCCCCTCATTCTTTTGTCAGTCACCTTTGCTTTCTTCCTCACTTATTTTCATCTCCCCTTTGCTTCACGGGCTGTTCCTGATCTCTGAAAGCTCTCTCCCCCCCCGTCTGAAATTTTAACAATGACAGGAAGATCAGCTAATTTCTCCTCTTTGAATTCTCCTTCCTGACCCCTCTTCCCTTCATAGCATAGGAGAGGAGACATTATTTACTAAATAAGAGGAGTCAACCAGTTGTTGAATGTGGAGAGTTGGAGGACTAGTCACTATTGCCTGTAATCTGGGGGTGTAATGTATCACAGACATAGAGTCTCACTAAAGCAGGATGAGCTATGCTTCTTTAATTTGTGATTGTAAAGGCTCACATTTTAATGCAAAAGCTTAGCTGGAATGAAAAGTAAAGCATTTACAGAAACACCACCCTGTTCATGAACCATTTCTTTAAATTATAAAAAAGTGTGTGGATTTGGATTAATTTTATTAATCAGCAGTTAGGCCAGATTAATTTATTGCTGTCAAACTAACACCTAAACTCTATTACTTACCGTATTTTCCGGCATATAAGGTGACTGGGTGTATAAGATGACCCCCTAATTTTCTAGTTAAAACATAGGTTTTCGTCTTATACTCGCCGTATAAGACTACCCCCCTTAAAAGGCCAACCGGCAGCGCCTCAGCGCCCCTCCGCCTCCCTGGCTTTGCTCCTGGTGTCCCTGGTCTGCTGGAGACTGTCTCCAGCAGACCAGGGACACCGGGAGCAAAGCCTTTGAGGATGCCGGCAGCGGGACAGCCGCGGCGCGTCTGGGCTGCCCCGCTGCTGGCTTCCCCCGAGGCTTTGCAAAGCCACGGAGGGGCTCGGGCAGCGGGGCCCCTCCGCGGCTTTGCTCCGCGTCTTCCTGGTCTGCAGACCAGGGAGACGCGGAGCAGCTTTTCTCAACCCGGAGTACACGGGCCGTGGGACCG